GACCAATCAAATGCACGAACCTGTTTGTAGATCCTTCTAGAACCTGATTTCCAAATTTGGTATATTCCCGGACTGTATTTAGAGTTATATTATATTCTGTATTTTGTTATCTAGTACTTCTATATAATAAAGTTGGCCCGGTGGCTGATTTCGCATATATTAATCAGACAGGAATTTGTTTTATGTAATAAGTTTCTTGTAAGTAAATTCAACCAGAATAATCTATAGATTAAGAGATATTTAAAAACACGAGAGATATATTTGAGGCATGTTAAATGAGATGTCAGTTTGAGACTTTTTTTTTGGAACATACTTTAAAATTTCGCTGTGCTGCCTACTCTATCCTTAGCCTTAGCCCAAGGTATGCTATTTCAAATCATGCACAACTTAGTTTTAGCTTTTGTATTCGACCAAAAAGATTTTCTTGAATAATTTTTACTATTATTTCATTAAAAATATACAGTGAAGACTAAACTTAAAGTCAGTCTACATAAAATTTCTCGGTATAGCGAATTTACTAATAAAACTAGAAATGGTGAATTTTTTTTTATCGTCACTTCACTATAGTGAGAATGGGTTGTATATACTGCATAAGTTTAATAAACAATAAATTGTAGTAATTAAAATTATTACCACACACATGTATGTATTAAATTTCAAGTTAATAAATTTATTCAAATAATATTATTACAGGTTTAATAAAAATGCAATTAAAATTTGACAAAATTACAAACATATTAAGAATCGAAAAAGTTCTAGCCAATTCATGTAGAATCGATTTTATTGTAAAATGTATAACCGTCTCAAAGTAAAAAGAATAGTGTGAATGCTATCAGTAAAAGAAGAAAAAAAAAAGAGTGGGCGACATTTGGCAAACGTAATAAAGATTTTGGTAATAAGAAACCCATAAAAATGCATGATGGACAGAAAAATGAATCTAAATATAATGAAAGGTGCAATATAAGGCCATGTTAATGTATTGATAAAATGTCACTAATTTGCATAGTAAAAAAAAAAAAAAAGGAAAAAAAAGCAAGACATGATGTTATAACAAATTTGTAAAAAGAGAAAACATAAAAAAAAAAATCATATCCATTCAAGAGCAGAACTACACTCTCTTCCCCAACCGGATTCATTATCAAAAGTTATCGGAGGATCTTCATCGTAATATATT